TGTCTTTCTTTTTTTTTTTTTTTTTTTAATTGAAGGTCCCTTTCTGTTCCTGCTTCCATGAGTGACCATGACCGGGAAAAAAGGAAGGGGAAAAAGCAGGCACCCACGGGTGGGGATCCTCTCCACAACATTTAATTTATACACAGAACTAGACAAGCACAGTGTCACTACTGTGGTTAGAAGTTGGGTAAAAAAAAAAAATGGGGCCAGAAGGTGGCGTGGTGGTTAAGGTGACTGGATTTCCACATGACTAACCACGGTTCAAGTCCTAGATCTGGCAGCTTCCTTTCTCATGTTCCTTCTCTCTCTCTCTGTCTCTCTTGGTCAACTTCGAAAAAATAAATAAAATAATGGCAATCTGTAAATTAAATAAAATAATTAAAAAGAAAAAGAGGTTGGCAGCATTGGAAGGGGGAGGAAGAGAAGGAAGAGATGGGGAGGTAGGATTAGCTGACATGGGCCATTGATTGGGTCCTGGGGCTGGGAGGTGGCATGGTGGTTAAGGGCACTGGACTCCCACATGGCTGACCACAGTTTGAGTCCTGAACCGGGCAGCTTGGTTTCTCACTTTCCCTCTCTCTCTCTCACTCTGTCCCTCTCTGGTTAAACTAAAATAAATAAATAAATAAAGTTAAATAAAATAATTCTTAAAAATAAAATACAGGGTCCCCTCCCTGGGGGAATTTGGTCTGCTTCAACCCAAGAAGGAATTAGACGAACAAAAGCAGTTTGGAAAGCCAGAACCATCAGGGATGAAGGGAGGAGAAAGGACAGGGGTGTGGCTGTGTGTTGTGGGTCAGGGCTCTTTGGCCACTGAGGTGAAGGGAGTGCCCTCCCCCTGCCAGGATCCCCTCAGCCCTGTCAGTCTGTCAGAAAGGGATCAGCCTGCAACCCCAAGGGAAGGTCTGGGATTGCCAGATGCTCCAGGTAGGAGGTTGGAAGCAGCTCACAAAGGTTTGCATTGCAGAGAGATAACAGCACTGCCTCCCAGCTTCTCTGCCAGAATGCAGTGGTCCTTGACCTCCTGGTAGCCATTTGCTTGTAATTCATGCTTGATACCTGTCAGTTTCTTCTTCTTTTTGTTTGTTTGTTTGTTTGTTTGTTTTGAGAGGTTTTTGCTATAGGGTGCGTGCGTTCTCCAGACAGACAGAGAGACAGAAAGCGAGAAATCACCCCCTCAGGGGGGATGGCCACGCCGCAATCCCTTCTCCTCCATTCT